CTGAACAAGAAAACAAAAGTAATGACTGTTGAGGAACTATACATCTTAAAGGTTGACGATGAAGAAACAAACTGTCAAAGATTTTTTTTTTATTCCTTGGCTCCTTCATCAACCAAATGGGAGACTGCAACCAAGAAATCCAAAGGAGACTGAGACTTGGAAGGGCAGCCAAAAAGGAGCTAAAAAGATTCTTAAGTGTAGGGATGCACCACTGGTGACTGAGATAACTCGTACTATAGTATTTCCTATTGCTATATATGGGTGTGAAAGTTGGACAATGAAGAAAGCTGACAGGTTGATTCATTTAAAATTGTGGTGTTGGAGGAGCATTTTACAGACACAATGGATCGCCAAAAAGACAAATAAGTGAGTTCCGGATAAAATCAAGCCTGTACTTTCCCTAGAAGCTAAAATGACTAAACTGAGGCCTTTATACTTGGGTCACATTATGAGAAGACAAGAGTCAATAATGTTAGGAAAAATTGAAGGCAGCAGGAAAAGAGGAAGACCCAACATGAAATAGGTTGACTCAATCAAGGAACCTGAGTAGGTGTGTTTCAGAGATGATTAATAGTAGGGAGTTTCAGAGGTCATTAATTCATAGGGTTGCTGTTAAGGTGGAAGTAAGTTGACAGCACTTAAAACACACACATATATAAAGGTCTAAAGACTTCAAAAAGCTTCTTCTGTTTGGCTTCTTGGTCTAACAGCAAGGACTTGGCCATATAACTGGAGAGCAGGACCTTTCACATTGCCATCTTGTGTCCCCACTCTCTAAACAGACTGTATTGAACTCCTCCTGGCTCAGGAGACCCTGGATTTGTACTGAAGTCTTGGCTCAACTGCTAACTAAATAATCATCAGTAAAGGAACTTATTGTTGTATATGGGTTCAGTCCAGGTGTACTACAGACAGTGCCTATAGACAGAATGGTTGTTCCCCTTTCCCCTTGGTATAAACATCACGCCACCATTACAAGAAATGGGAGATCAGCATGTTCAATCTTTATCCCAGTTTTCCCTTACCCTATTCAGCCCTCTCCAACCCACGTGGTCCATGCACAAAAGAAGATGGACTCAAAGTGATACTAGAGGTGTGCACAGAACTCTTGCTCGATGTGATGTCTCTGTATACATCCTGGGGTAGTTGTGGATGAAACCGAGCTTTGATGGCCTATACCTTCTCTCTAGAAATGGGTGATGCACAATCACCTGGCAAGAACAGAAATATCCCAGAAGCCTATTAAAATCATGGATATAAATGAATGCCAAAGTCATATGCATTCACTAACATGACTGATTCTGTTCAGTCACACTGTTATGAACTCAGGAGAATTTACTAAACAATTTCATGACACTTCTAGTTTGAGACAGTATAAAGAACCATTAGGCTGTTGCTACAGTATTTTAATTTAAATAACTGTAAGTAAGAATAGCTATTTCTATAAACCACCTCATCTGAACAAGGAGAACCCATTAAGTTATTTCAAAGAAAACAAGAACTAACTTGCTCAGTAAAAAGTACTGTTAAGAATAAATTTAACTTCAAGCCTGCTCCAAACTGTACAACTAAATGCATGCTAAATATTTAAAACATTTTGCAAGTATTGGGGGGTTTTTGTTCTAATTTTTGCTGTTTATGGCAGACAGTCATTTTCCTAATAAGAGTTTTACCTTGAAGGTTTCCAACAGCAGCTGCTTACTGAGCAATTTTTATAGGCAAAAGGTATAACTAGTAATCACTATCTAGTTCACTGGCACATGATTCAAGCTGTAGTTTACTAAAGTTGAAAGGTAATAAATACATGAAAACATAATCAAAGATGGGAAAAGTTAATCCAATTTATGCACACCTGTTTATATTTCAAAGAATATCTTTGTTGTAAAGGTTTCAAAATTAAGAAATAACAAAATTTTACAACTCCTTAAGTAAAGAAGAATATGTGCACTTGTTCATGGAGCACTACAACTAAAACATATCTGCTTTCTCGACCATGTTTGGAGAATTGTTCATTTTATTTACAGTATGTAATACTCTGGACAGTGGAATCTCATGCTGAATTACTCCAGTCTGAAGAACCCACTTAAATTCCACTGCAATTAACTTTGCACAGGATTTCACTATTAGGTTTTGTGGTCCAAGATTTAATACTGATAAACACCTGCAACAGCACTGAGATGAAGGAACTTAATATTGCATGTGGCCTTATCACATGCCATTAATTAAATAATTACAATTCCTTTATCTGGATATTTTATTTAATGTTCTGTACCTTTACTCTTTTGTTTTAAGTGTGCATATGTGAACAGATGCAATTGCTGTGATTTGGAAGTGTTTGCTTAGATTTCTAGGACTCTTTTTTTTTTTAAACAGTACCTTTCCCAAGGCTGCCACTCAGTGTCAGAGGATGTTCAGGCACAGCATCAGGTGACACACAGGGGCTGCAGTGAGAAGGGGGAAATCAGACAAATTGTCCTCTCCCTCTCTCTCTCCCCCTCGTACACACAGACACACACAGAGTTCTTGAGTGTCCCTAGGAGCAGCTGTTAGGGGGTGAGATGCAGGAATGTGCACAAGGAAAAAAATAATAAAATATCCATTCCATGAATGTTGCTTCATTTACACTTGCTCAGATCCAAGCCAACATTTTAAATTAAACCACATAAAAAAATTCTAGGAGGCTAAATTATGGAAAGTTAAATATGTGTCTCAGATGAAGTCTTACAACACTCTGAGGGCTAACAGATTTATTGTAGTACAACCTCCATGGGCTACAGCCCACTTTGTCAGATGTAATATTGTAGATATCAAAGTGTTGTTTTTGTTTTTTAAAAAAATCTGTTCACTGTTGCATTATTTGTTTTCATTTCCCAGTGCTTTTCATGAGTAGCACATTTGTTTTCCCTCCACTCTGGGTGATATTTTAAGGGATTGTACCCCAGGCACACAGAAAAAGTGGTTCTGGTTTCATAGGCCATTTCTATCTTGAGGAGCAGTGAGTGGCAGATGTCTGACACCTAGAAGACAGCAGTATTAAAAAGCACGAACAGGGAGATATTTGGCAGCTCAAGAAAGACAGGGATATTTTCACAGCAGGTGTAGAGGTTTGCAGTAGTCACAGCAAAGAGACAAACTTACAGAGGGGACAGGGGGCAGCATTGTGTGGCACCCTCGGAAGAGCAAGAGCATAGCACTGCAAGCACTGAAACTTGCATTTGACACCCCAAGGCAGACAACCAGATAGAGTTGGGATTTCAGAGCCCTAAGAAAAGCAGACAGCATGGCAGAGTGGGTGCAGAGGCATACACTGTTTTGATACTGGACTGGATCCAGCCACTTTTTCACTGAACCATACTCCCATACTATAGCCCCCATCAAGCATGCCTTCCTGCTTAGTCTGTTGGGTGATCAAAGGGGGAGAGAGACTCTTTCCTTCCTTCTTCACCAGTGGAAAACTCATTGGCTCCAACCCAGTGAGTGCAAGCATTTGGTAGAAAAGAAACACTAGAATAATAGTGCTTGGTGGAAATTAGTTTAAATGTGTGTGTGATGTAGTGAACGATACTCACAGGTACTGAGTAATGATTTATAATGTGTGCACACTCTGCACAGGTAACATATATAAACTGCGTAAGTACTGCAAATAATCACTAACACAAGACATTAACACCAATACACTACAGCCTGTGTGCAGAATTAACAGAAGCAGTACAACTAATATGAAAATGAAAAGGAATAGGGGAAACCGTGCATTAACTACAGAGAAACACACTCTTCTACACTAGAAAGCAATCACATTCTCATATGTACACCACTCACACAGCAGCTGTGCAATTTGAAAAGCACTAGAACAAACATGGAAGTCTTCGGTCTTAACGAGAATGGAACTAGCTCAGGCAAAGAGAAGCTGGCTGGAGGCTGATACCTATACAATCAATAACGCTCTTTCCGATCCAGCATTATTATTTTGTTCTCACTGGAAATGTACTGACAGTTTCATTCTCTATCAATTCTTTTTCTAATCCTTTTGTATTTGAATACAAGCTACAGTCTCTAAATCAAACAGCCAGATGCCAGATTAATAAGTATTAATTAATACAGATTATTGTTATCTTCCCTATTCATTTTCATTATAATTTTTTATTTATTTAAAACAGTCGAATGCTTTTTATTCCTAGGGATGTGCATTTGTTGATTAATGAAAAAATGAAGCAAAGCCTAGGAACAAAGCCACAGAAATATTTTTGAAGCCAAATCATTTTAAAAGTATCCATAAAAACAACAAAACCACATGGCCGGGAGCCAGCAGCTTCAATACAAGTACATAAGTAGTTACACAGATCAAGGTGTGATCTTCATCTCGTTACTATTGCCACTGCATTCCTCTTTCTTTAACTTCCCTATGACTGACTCAAATAGGATTCAATTGAAAAGTAAAGTTGCCATATGGGGAGGGTACAGTTTGTATCAAAATTCCCCTGCACCAATGACTGCAGCAGAATGGACGATAAAGCTTTCAGATTTCTGGCATATGTTTCATGTTGGCACAATTTTTCTTATGAGGACACTTAAAAAAAAAAATTGCAACCCTTCCATTAGAAGACAGAGGTACTCCAACCCCAACATGAAGATGAACCCACTTCAATTAAATCAATTCAAGCGCCTCAGACTCCCAAGAAGCAAACAAAACGGTCCAACGCTTTTGGCAATCACAACATGTCCTTACCAGCTTGACGGCCAAAGTTAAGGAGCAAAGAAGGAATACTCTGCATATACACAAAAGAAACCATGTGAGGATGGGATTACGGACTGAGACAGGATGAAGCTATTTGAAGAGAAAGAAGGTGGCTGGCTGATGGCATGAATAAGGACTGTGGCAATGGAGAAACCCCACCCATAGCTTAAGATGGTGCTCACTCCACTGACTGGAAACATATATATTCAACATTGCTGGTTTATTTTATTTCAATCATATGAGGATAAATTAATTCATACAGTACCTCTGATTAACCTGCATCTCAAGTGTCTGAATTTTTTCCAACAGTTCTTTTTCAACAGCTTCCCGATGTAATTCAAATTCTTTCAGGGCAATTCGTACTGCATCTTCTTTTTCACAACTGAGCTTCTCAACAAGCAGCTTCCTGTCTTCCTCATGGTTAGTAACCAACAGCTGTTTCTCTTCTTCAAACTTATTGATAGTGGCTTCATATTTTTTTTGCTGTTCACATAGGGCCAAATTCTCCTCTTTTTGCTTCTCCAGGGCAGTCACTGCCAATTCTAGCTTACCTTGCAATTCTGTTATTTGTTCTTCCAACCTCTTTTCAGCTTCAAAAGCTTTCTGATGCAAAGAAGTTACTTTGTTCAACTCAGTTTTAAGCAAATGTGTTTCTTCTTCGTGCCTGCCAATTAATTCTGAAATGCACTGATCTTTCTCAGTAGTCATTAAAGTTCTTAGCTCTGCTAATCCTATCTGATATTCCTCATCATTAATTTTTATTAAATGGTTCAATTTATCAATCTCTTTTCTTAAAATGTCTGTTTCCTTGTCAATAACAGATTGTAAGTTATCCTGCTGCTGAGTTTTGCTTTCTTCTAAGAGTAGTTTCATTTCATCTGTTTCTGCTTCTTTCAAAGCAAGTTCAACTTCCAATTTGCATCTCAAGTCAGACAGTTCAGAAACCTTGAGCTTTAGTTCCTCAATCTGTTTTTCTTTTTCTTGGATGTCTACAGCATGAGATTCCTGCATCTGTTCAAGTCGGCATTGGTTTTCCTTTATTAACTTCTCTAAACAATCACTGTGTTCAGCCATTAGCACTTCAAATTCTTGTGTACGTCTGACCTGAAGACTGGCTTCTAGTTCCTTCAAATGATCTTGCTCCAAACTCTGAAGTTCTGCCCTCAAAAGCTGCATTTTTTCACCAGTTTCTATATGAAGTTTTTTCAGATTTTCTAATGCACTTTCACGAGATTCCCTTAATTCTTTAATTTCACAACATTGATTCTTCATTTGGCATTCCAATTCGAGCAGCTTCTCATCTTTTTCATTCTGTAAACATACGACAGCTTCCTTTTCATTCTTTACTATTGCAAACTCATCATCTTTATCATGCAAAACATCTTCAAGACTTTTCAAGTCTAACTTTAATTTTGTAATCTTTTTTTTGTTCTCCTCACCATCTTCAACTAAAATATTCATTCTGCTTTCATATTCCATTTTTACAGACTGCAGTTCTTTTTGATGCTTTTCTTTTAGTGTCTTTTCAAGAGACAGTTTTACTTTTTCTATAATGTTTCGTATTTCTATTGAAGTACATTTTAAAGAACTAGAAAAGTCGCACTGTTCTTTTTCTACAAATGTTCTAAAGTGACAAAGGTCTTCTTTGAAGTTTCTTAGATTTAACTGAGATTCCTGGGCAGCAACTCTACATTTCGCCATGTAAACATTTATAGCAGAATTTTCTAGGGCTGCTCGTTTTGCACAAATATTTGTGTCTTGCATCCGCCTACTATCTATTGCATTGATAACTGAGGAATACAGGGACTCCACCATCATTTCTGGACTTTGTGGATCACTTATCACATTTGGAGATGCTGGATTTTCTTCTATTATAAACTCATTCACTGCTGACATAAAGTCAGATTCTGGACTTTCTGCCAGTGAGTCCAAGTCTAATGACCCTTGTTTCAGACCATGCTCTATACTTGGATGGGCAATTGTTTCAAAGTCAAACGTATGAGCATCAATACTGTCTGGAGACAATTCTTCTATTGGACCGGGGGGGCACTCAGGAGGGCAAAGAGGACCCTGAAGGCTAAGCGATGGAGGAGTTCTAGGAGAGGTAGCAATTGTTCCTGTTGTACTTTCCATCCTTGGGGTAATAACAGATTGTGGGGAAGCTTGACTGTTGGAAGCCTAAAATATACATAAAAATGCAGGGTTAACAAACCAGCTTTTCATAATCTGTTACCAACAGTGCAAAAAGTTACACAATGAGCTCTATGCCAGCAGTAGGAGTTCTTCAAGACTTCCCCTCCGAATTTACAAAAATAAGCATACTCCCAAGTACTGCAAAGAGCACTGCCTCAAGAAGGCGGGAGCGGGACCCCAGTACATGCCAGCTAACCCTTATGCGTTAGTCCTCTAAACAGTGGCTAGGAAAGGTTTCCACTTGCATATCTTTCCTTCTATTATTTCATTAGAACTACAATTTTTTCTAATGGCTGACTCACTTATTACGAAGTTCACATGGTTGGCCCGTGGCTGCCTCAAGGGCTTTGGATAAGATGTGTACCTAAAGCTCCATGCTAAGAACATAGCCCAAGGCATGGAGGCACCCAACTTGGATCAGGACCAGTGTTCCCTCTAAGGTGAGTTAGTGTGAGCTAGCTCACAGTTTTTTAACCTCTGGCTCACAGATTTTTGTCTTAGCTCAGGAAGGATGGCTCCCGAGCAAACTAATTTATGCAGCAGCCAAATCGCTCACTTACAACTTTAATGCCAGTTTGCTCACAAAGTAGGATTTTTGCTCACAAGACTCCACAGCTTAGAGGGAACATTGATCAGGACCACAGCCTGTGGGGAGAGGGGGCTTAGGTCTCCCACTTCATACCATTCCCTCTGTCTGAAACAGCACCAGGGAATGGCTATTCACCCCACTGGGGAAATTTTATGTTTTGTGGGCTACAGAGCAAATTACAGCTTCCAGAGCTGTTTCAAGGTCAAAGAAACCGTGCAGGTAGAGAAGGCTTAATACCTCTTTTCCTGTGTACTGTGATTCCAAGCTGAATCAGGCCCCCATGTGAATGAGAACTGTTCCCAGAATGGAACTTCAGCTGTTGACAGTCTATTTGTGCTCCATGTAGACTTTGTAACATGTGAAACAGCCCTATAGCTACAAGCCAGAAACCCAATTTTAATACTTGCCGCATCGACCTTGGATGCTGAACTACAAACCAGTATACAGCTATACATAGTTTATAAAAAATACTCATAACCTTGTAAATACAAATATGGTTTCAGAAGAACTCAGAATTGTTTACCAGTTTACCTATTTTAGTTGTCCAAGAAAAATCTCTTTTAAGAAGCAAAAATATGAAGCTCTACAAGACTGTAATGAATAAAAATACTACAACAAAGTATTTTTAAAAAACAGGTTTTCCACTGGAGTTAAGTCTCTCCATATGTTGTTTCCTTGAGAAGAAGCTGTAAAAAAATAGTCAAAGGCCCCCTGATGAGGTGACAAGGATGTGGATTCGCAACAGATGCTTAGGGAGGAAAAACCCAAAGGCATCTCTTAGGTCAAAATTCCAACATATCCAATATCTATCTTGTGTTCATGCTGTGAAATATTATGACAAAGGGGATCCATGATTTGGAAAAAAAATATCTAATGGTCAGATTCAAAGATTCAGCTCATCTAGTATTTCCATGAAATAATCCATGGAAGAGCTAATAGAGACTTCAACAATGTTGTGTAGGAAAGAAGCTGCTGACAGAAGGCAACATGAACACATATTTAGCAAAGATTTATTTTAGCAAGGATGTATTTAGCAAATAATTAATAAGACACAATGGACAGAGAAGACCAGGAATGAAGTAAGCTTAAATTAAAGGTCTATTCCTAGTTGCTATGATCTCTAACACAACTTGAAGTTACGATCTTGATAGAGAAATTAACAAATTTGTGCTGATCTGCATATCATATGAAAAATAAATTATAATAGTTTATGAATATAAAGGCAATGGGTTGGATCCCACAGATGATTTCCAGGGACAGAAAGGGAGGGTTGTTTATCCCCCCCCCTTCTGTAGCAGACCTCTGGCTCCTACCTCATGTTGTTTCTGGGGGTTCCCCAGGAGCAGACTTTCAGGGGGCAAGGAAATGCACTTTGCAGACAGAAATCCTTTCTATCTGCAGAAATACTCTATGCAAACTAACTCATCTATTATGCATAATTATTAAAAGTTATGCTTCTCAACAATCTTAATCTCTTCAAATCCCGCCAACACCTTGTACAGACACACAAAAAAGAGTGGAATAAGTGCATGTGTGCATGCATGCACTATATACTACATACTTTATAAAGCCCACGAGAATTCTGTATTGATTACATCTTATCTCCCTTATAAATAAAAGCCGAATGGTGGTGGCACTTCTTTAGAACATGCCACAAGCTCCAAAATCAGTTCACTCTCTGATCTGTCATTCAGAGGGTCTCCCTATCCACTGGCTGCTTTGCCTGAGTCCTGCCTCCAACATTCTAAACATTTTGCTAATCCTCCCCCCCAAAAAAGTCAGTCAGAACACAGAGGTTATTTGCATATGCAGCCTCATTGGCCTCTGCCTCGGAACATAGAGGTTGTTTGCATATGCAACTTGATTGGCTTTTGCCTCTAAAATTCTAAACAGTTTTGCTGTTCTGAGGTAAAATGTGTCCAATCTCCAGGTGAGGGCTGGAGATAACTCAGAATTACAACTGCTTTCCAGATGGCAGAGATCAGTTCCCTTGGAGAAAATGGTGGGCTCTGTATCCTTATATGCTGCTGAGGTGGCCCCCGTATGACAGCCAATGTGACGTAGCAGTCAGGGCTTCAGAGCACAGGAGAGGCTGCAGGTGTGTGGGGGGTGGAAAGCTGGAGTGAGGGGGAAATAAAGGGAGGTTGATGATTGGCTGGGAAGGAGATAGGGGTGCCAACTCCAGGTGGGAAATTCCTGGAGAGGTGAGGGATGGAGCCTGGAGAGGGTGAGGTTTCAGGAGGGGTGGGACCTCGGACAGGTACAAAGCCATAGCCTCCACCCTCCAAACCAACTATTCCCTTCTGGAGAACCATCGTTGCCAATCTCCAGGTGAGGGCTGGAGATCACTCAAAATTACAACTGTTCTTTAGGTAGCAGAGATCAGTTCCTCTGAAGAAAATGGTGGGCTCAGTGTCATTATACCCTGCTGAGGTCGCCAATCAAGTTTTTAAATGTATTAGCATTAATAGTTACCTTTCTGGTATGGAAATACCAATATGAAATAGCTTTACTGCATCTACTATATGCCTAAATAAGCCTGCCTGGGCTGACAAGGGACATTTACCATGCCACATCCAAAGCTAGTTCTGAATATTTCTTACTCAGATAAATATCAGTTTACCCCATCTAGATTAGATTCCTGCAATGTGCTCTATGTAGCCTGCCCTTGAAAAGTGTTTGGAAACTTCAATTGGTAAAGAATGCTGCAGCCAGGATGTTGATTGGAGTGGGTCATAGGGACCATATCACTCAAGAACTGGCCCATCTACTCTGGCTCCCAATTTGTTTCCACACACAATTCAAGATGCTTCAAAGCCCTATATGATTTAGGACCAATATAATGGAAGGACTGCTTAATCCCTTATGAACCCACCTGACCACTACAGTCATCTTCATAGGCTCTGCTTTGGGTGCCCTCACCTTCTGAGATTAGGCAGGTGGCAGCCCAGGGACTACCTTCTCAGTCATGGCAGCAAAACTCTGGAACTCTGTCCCCAGGGAGATTTGTCTGTCCACTTCTGCTAGCAGGTAAAGACTTCCTTGTTTCATTTGGCATTCCCTCAGTGATCCTTCCTTCCTGCCCAATGTTTTATTGTTTTTATGTCTTTGTATGCATTTCAACTCAGCTTTGTTCTAACAGTGTGTGTTTTTTTGTGGGGGGGGGATGTTTTAAAATGTGATTTAATTATTTGGTCATGATTGTCCCTGAGTGCCATATCTCCTTCCATGGATTCCAGAATGCCCCTTGGTTTAATGATGAGCTTCAGATGGTGAAATAGTTGGGCAGGTGGTTAGATCGCAAGGGAGGAAAAGCTTGGTAGTCCTTGAGGGGGCAGAAAGGCGGGGCATAAATTTTGCAAATAAATTACACTGGAGTGTGAGTTCTTCTGCAAAGAGATCCTTATGTATTTATACAAAAGATAGGAACAAGATGTGCTAATAAGTCACATCAGAGCTACCTAAGATCGAAACATTTGCTTATCCCCTAGCTATCCATTTGTGATTACCTGTCTGAAGCAAATGTTGGTGGTTCATGTGAAAAAGAGCCTACTTCAAGAAGGCGGGGCACCTGAACTGAGCTCACTGAATGCAGTAAGAACATTTTCCTTTTAAATTTGGACCATCCAGCCAATGAAAGTCCAGAGCACTCCAGGGGGGTGGGGATCAGGAGCCGTTTTGTGGAACTTGCTTCTATGAGTTCTTTGAAAATGAAGTGAATGGCTGGCCACCCTGTAGTTCTCAGCTGACACTAGTGATATTTGTGGGAGAAGTAATAACACGTTGATATGCAATTTTATGCTACTGCTAAAATAATGTGTTACTGTGCTTAATAAATTGGTTAGATTTGTAAATTTAACCAGTACTATGGAGCATTTGTCCTGTTACTGGCAAGATCTCAGTATATCTGGTGTCTGGGAAATATCCCTGTCACTTAGGTATCTAATTAATCTCTGTAACCCCCCTCCCTTCCTGTCTGAACTCTATGCCAAACTAGCAAGTACCAGAATAGAGACAACACTTTCCAATGATTACTACTGGCATCTCTTCAATTTGGATTAGTTATATTAATTATAACAAAAAGTAGTATTGTAGTAGCTTAAAAAAATCACTTCACTCATCTGATTGTGTGGGCTCTAGGCCACAAAAGCTTACAGTTCAATCAATTTGTTAGCCTCTGATGTGCCACAAGACTCCTTGGGGTTCGCTGCACTAATATGGCTTTGCATCTGTAACATTATAATAATTTCACTCACTTTTGTGATTAAGCAGTAGGGATATGCATGCAGGTATCAGTATTAAAAATGCAGCTGTGGTTGACCAGTGGAATAGGGGGATGACCCGACTTGTGGTCATGATTGTCCCTGAGTGCCATATCTCCTTCCATGGATTCCAGAACGCCCCTTGGTTTAATGATGAGCTTCAGATGGTGAAATAGTTGGGCAGGTGGTTAGATCGCAAGGGAGGAAAAACTCTAAGTGAATGTAACCAAACAGGTGAGAGCTCATGTTTCTGCCATCATTGCATCTGCACAATGGCATCCAACAGAGCTTTTCTGGGTTGTGAAGGGCCTAGGTCACCCTGACGGATGACCTTTGCTGGGAGAATGACAGTGTGAGGGTATCCCTGTTGATTTGTCTGGACCTCTCAGCAGCTTGTGATACCACCGGTCAAAGTATTTTTCTGGAGAGGTGGGCTGGGTGTAGGGGACATCATGCTTCTGTGGTTCTGCTCTCACTTGACCAACTGACTCCAGAAGGTTGTGCTGCTTGGCCCCATGGTATTTAGCTATCGGGTCCTGTTGAGTTCCCTCATGCTATTTAACATCTACATGAAACCACCAGGAGGTCATCCAGGCATCTGGAATGGGGTGTCACCAATACATAGATGACACCCAGCTCTATTTCTCCTTAACAGCTAAGTCAAGTAGGCATGTGGAAGACCTGGAGAAGGTAATGGGATGGATGAGGGCTAACAAACTGAAGCTCAATTCAAACAAGGGGGGAAGTTTGGCAGGTATCAGGTATCAAAGACTATCAAATAAACAAAATATGGCAAGAGTGTTATTGTTTTAAGCATGTTTATATTTTAAGTTTAAAAAATCTTTAATTGTGTTTCTCAGTGTCCTTTATAAAGTTAATATCTTTGCTACCTCATAGTACATTTAATGACACACATGGCCTGGTCCGATACAGTCCCATTTATGTCAGATTCAGCCCTCATAACAAATGAGTTTGATACCCTTGATATAGTCCTTTCTATTCAACATTACTATGATTTTTGTTGTTACTGTTTTATCCTTAACGAATTACCAAGAGGTTATTATTCAGGAATATATGAATATTGTCTACATATTTTTCACATAATCTGAAGAATATGTTTAGATAATATGAAGACCAGGGATCTCCTCACTGTTCTCTCTTGTACAATTTGTATATTGTGCTATGTTTACAGTTCGTATATACTCAAGTGTACCATTTGTCATTTATTTGTACCACTTGCCATTTTATGTATGTTTACATTTGTTGTGGATCATGTACCTGATCTTTGTTAATCACTTAGGTAACTGTTCCCTTGTGTAATTTATTTTACTATTCCATAGTGTTGTGCTATCTGGTATTAAATATTCTATATATGATTTGTCTCTGCCTTTTATAATTACTAGTTCTTGGCTTTGCTTTTATTGTCCAGGTCTGAAAATGACAAATATTTCTACTGTGAAATGATTAGAAACAACAACACATCCTCAATTCTAGATACATATCCTAAAAATAACTCTGATTTCAGTTTACCACTAAATTCAGCTTCCAGGTGATTGTGATTACCACTGCAATGCTGTAGTTTACTTTTGCATACAGTCACATGCATAGCCCAAGGATACCTTTTGTTCATTCAGCAGATCTGTAATGGTCTGTGACATTTCATCCAAACTTTGTGCTGCTTTGACCAGGTTATGTAGAGCAAGTACATGCTGGTGGAGAGGTTCAAAATCACAAAGTATGGGAACCCTTAAAATGCAAAATAATTTAACACTGATTACATATATGTTATAAAGTGACAGAAAGCATTCTAGAATATATGTAAAGAGCACCTCTTTGCACTTGCACACACTTAAAGAACTTTCATATGTACATCAAAGATTTGCCATTTCCTCTTTCAGCCTGGCTCAGCTTCTGATGCTACTCTGGAGGGTCCTCTAACTTTCAGAAGTGGTTTTTTCTCAGGGTACAAATACCAAAGTGGGAAACAGGTGCTGTCAGAAAGTCCTGATGCCCCAGAACATTCTTTTAAAATTTTCTTTATAGTTTTTTTTATTTATTTAAGTGAACATTTAATATTCTATGGAAGCTAAATAGCAAGCCTTGACTTGGAAAATTGCAATATTTTACTCTTACTGTGCCATTTTTTTTGTTTTCACTTCCTTCTGAGCATCATTTTAATTATTAGAAGCCACTTTGTTGTAATTGGGACTAAGCAGTTTGAAGGCAAATTAAACAATCACTTATTTCAGAGGTGTTTCCTCCATCTTGTCCGGCAGTTCAATCCTAAACACCCCTTTCATCTTTACATGCAAGTTTTGAGAAGGGTGAATTTGACCTACTAGTTAAAAAAAATTAAGTTACAATTGTTCTAATAAATGTTCTGGAAAGGTATCATGCCAAGGGAGAAATGACCCTTTTCTTATGCACAGGCATTTGAATAAACTGAGTGCATTTCATTTTACCTGAGTAATGGTTGGACTTCTGAAGGACAAAAGGACTGTAGAAACTGCAGATCAGATAATGAGATATCAGGAAGTTCACTATCAAATCTGCGAGGTTTCCGAGTCTATATAAAAAACAATTTGTACATATTACAAATATGAATGTAAAAACACAAATTATTAAACTCAAAGACTACAAATAAGTAGTCTGCAAGTACCAGCTGGTGTTATCCAGAAATACAGCTTAACTGTTGTTTTTTTAATAAGAAGGATCCTTATTTTTTAAATACACTTTAATCTGTAATCTTACCTGTGAGTCCTCAAATGTTTTAAATAGCTTGTTTTATACTAAACTTTTTGTGTGTGATTTTATGGTATTGTTTTTATTTTCAAGCTACTTCGAGCAGGACTCTATAGAATAGGCATATGAATTTCCTAAATAAATACCATCCCCCCTTTTCTAATGTAAGATGATTAGTGTCACAATATAAGAAACTAAACAAAACAGAGGGCTAGAAAATGCCGGAGAAGACATTCGAAACTCGCAACTCATGTCTAATGTTAAGCTACCAGGAAGCCTACAGTGCTGCCTCCTACCAGCTTACTGTTAACTGTGTCTCTTCCTGCTTGCCCTTGTTTTCCCTCTCCACATTATCCTTGGAAAACATTTGTTTTCATCATGTTGGGCTGGATCCAACCATCCTCAAAGGAGCCTTCTACCAACTTTAGTTGCTCCTATGACAGAGCCACTTAAGTTGGAGGAAGGCTGAGTGGGGTGATAGTGTCTACCCCACTATGTACCATCTTATGATGGCAAATTGTATAGAACCATGGGAACTCCACAACAGGACTCACTCTCTCCTAGAATGCCTACTACCTATGTTTTATATACATGATGCATAGGACTATGATCATGGCTGTACATGCAAAAAAAGAAATTCTGGTACTTTCTATCAGTCAGCAAACAATACAGGATCCTTGAACTTCACCTGATCAACAAAAACTCTGGGTTATTATGAAAGTATGAACATCTAAACTTTGCAAGTAAGTCCACAAAAGTTATGTGCCCACAATTTTTTTTAATCCTTACATATATTTGTTTTGTTTTGTTTTTTTCTTGCAGGAAATAAGAATTAACTTTGTAAAGCCTGTTTGGTTGGCTTGAGGCAATTCTTCATAGGTAATCAAATGAGTAGCTATCATATGCCAGGATTATCTACCCATTTATTTAATTTGAAATGCACATAGAGAAGAGGTGCTGAAGATCTATGCTACTATTCAAAAGTCTTGTGACACCCACAAAACTAACATTTGCTGTGAGTCAAAGCCTGCTTTATCAGAGGGATGTGACAAAGTGGGCTCCAGTTTATGAAAGTTTATGGCACAATAAATGCTAGCCTGCAACAACAAACAATCAAAAGACACCTCAAAACTCTCTCTCTGGAATTTGACACTGTGGAACACTACCAGTACAATCCTTTTAGGGCTAACCATCACAGCCTTAATACAAATACAAAGTAATCATTCTATGATCTCATCTCTGGATTAAACCAGCAAAAGAACACACACCCTTTTCTTGAAAGCCTGAAAATGATAAATGTAACAACAAATGTAACAGTCTTAGGTTCATAGTATATTAACCAAATCAAATGTCTTCACGACAAAGAATAAATACTTACACAAAATGATGGAGGCCAGGCATCAAGACCTCTGAACAAACGATTTCTTAGAAAAGACTTCCCTGCAAACAAAAATGTTATTTTTTAAAAGCTTTGTTCACATGTAAAATGGTAAAATGAGGGATGGAAATTTTTCCATGTAAAGGGGCACACAAATACATGGTATGATATAGAGCCGCTCTAATAAACCAGCCTTCAGATTTAGAAAGAAAAACAACAGACAAAACACCCCAAAAATATTTGGGAATCATACTTCTCAATCAAATACATAACTCTTGCTGGTGCCTCTGCCAGTGCAGCAAGTTTAAGAACTGTAATTTATAAAATAAGTAATACAGATACTTACTAAATAATTTCCCAAAAGTTTCCCTTTTGGCCTTTTCTGCATCATAAAGGTGTTTCCCATCTTTTATTAAAGCGCTAGCCCACTGGAAGAAAAAGAAGTGTGTGTTTGTATATAACTACTTATAAAGACAAAGAATGTGACATCTCATCAAGTTAATCATGGGTGTGAAATCTGGATTTCCTACTCAGGTTGCTTACCTCCCTGTAGTGTTTTACAAACATCTTCCTCCTTACAACTTCAACAACAGCCAAACAGTACATCTGAGGGACATTACTAAGCTTCTCTACTATCTTCACTCGTTCTAGCAGCTCTGTTACGAGACGAAGCAAGGCTTGCAGTTTCTCTCCATCTTGGTCAGCATGAAGCATTACAAAGCAGCACCATCTAAGGAGAATAAAGTCTCAACATGGCATACTGGACTAACATCCATCAGATGACACATTTTACAGGATGCTCCATTTGAAATTATTTTTTCTCAAGTAAGAGCTCTACATATTCAGATCTTTATTTATAAAAGCAACACAATTACTAATGCCCTCAGAAAGTTCACACAAATTAACATACATTTTATTTATTCTGCTTCTATAGCTTAATAAAAAAGGTTCTCTATAAGCTAAACTTTGCATCCGATATCAAATTCTGTCCTATGAAGAATCCACACATCCCTGAATATGATTCTACATCACATTAATACAATGACGACTAAAGACTGTTCTCCAGCAACCCACATGTCCTGGTTAGGGATGGTCACGAACTGGCTCATGAACTAAAGTCCATGATTAATTTTGGCCAGTTCGTGGTTTTCGAACTGAAATTCATGGCAGGTTGTTGGTGGTTCATGAATGGATACATTTCCAGACAGACAGTCTCCGCTCAATCAAAATGTTCACCACCCTTAAAAGCAACACGGAGGGCAGAATTCTCCAGCCTTGGAAAGACCAATAGGAGCCCTCCAAAGCTTAACAGGCACTGCTGGCTGCCAATAACAGAGTTCCCATTCTGCTCTATCAGGATCAGAATGCTATATATACCCTCAGCTCAGCTTCTGTATCATGTTGAGCAGAGGGGCTTAGCTACTGGGTGCCTTGACTGACGACCCATATTTATACCCTCCCACCCCTCCTGATTGTGAATACCTCTCCCCTGGTGTGGTTTGGGTGTTAGGTGGACTCAGGGCTCTAAGTTACACTCTCTCTCTATTCACGCCAAGCAGAAAGGGCTTAGCTACTGGGTGCCTCAGCTGAGGACCCACATTCATACCCTCCTGTGTGTCATGAGAAGAAGAAGAGTTGGTTTTATACCACACCCTTCACTACCCAAAGGAGTCTTGGAGTGGCTTACAATCACCTTCCCTTCTTCTCCCCACAAGAGACACCCTGTGAGGTTGGTGGGGTTGAGAGGGTTTTGAGAGAACTGTGACTGACCCAAGGTCACCCAGCTGGCTTCATGTGGAGGAGTGGGGAATCTCCACATCAGAGTCCATCGCTCTTAACCACTCCATCCAACCTTTTCTCACTGAAATTTCCCCACTAAGAAAACCCCTGGATATCCCCCTCCCCCTTTACTTTTACTCTCCAAAGAAAATCTCCCTCACCCAACACATACTTATTGAAGCAACATCTACCTCATAACACAACACCTACTTCATGGAACAACATCCACCTCAACAAACATCTCAGCAGACATCTATCTGAAGAAGTGAGCAGTGACTCACGAAAGCTCACACCCTGCCACATTTTTTTTAGTCTTTAAGGTGCTACTGGACTCTTGCTCTTTTCTATTGGTACAGACAGACTAACACAGCTACCCATCTTGACCTATCTACCTCAACAAACATCTGCCTGTACAAGTAAGCTCCTGTTTGACTACCCTTTTCCATTGCATTTGTACAATTCACAACAGGTGATCTCTTATCTTCAGGGTGAGGTCCCCCATGTGTTTGGTGTGTGTAACTTGCAGGGTGTCCATTCTATACCCTTTTGAACCTGCAAGAAAGATTTTCCCCAAAAGCACTTTCCTGGGGGCTCTTCTGGGGGGGGCATAACTCGGACCCCCTAAGGCCTATCTGCACATAACTTGGAGGGTGCATAGAGAAGCAACAGGGGGAGGTCCCCCGGTGAGTTTGATGTCTCTAGGTTGTACAGGGTTCACTCTATAGCTCCTGAACTTCCTCAACCTGTGCCTGTCATTTCCCCAGAAAGCACTTTCCTGGGGCACCTTCTTGGGGGGGGGGGACTCAGATCCCATAAACCCAATCCTCACCAAACTTGGAGGGCAGGTAGAGGAGAGTCAGCTGGAGATGCCCTGTGAGTTTGGTGTCTCTAGCATGCTGGAGGAGGGGCATTCTACCACATCACAAACCTCACAAACTGAATTGGTTCATTTGGCACCTAAACGTTTGTGATAGTTCATTGCTCAGGAACTGAACCACATTTTCCCAGTTTGTGTCCATCCCTAGTTCTGGGGACACAAATCCAAATCAAATCTCACAAATCATCAGTAACAGACAAGGGAACCTATGGGTATAGCATAGACAAGGACTCACTCCCATTCTACTTGTTATATTCTTTCTTCCAGAAAGGGATTGTTTTTGTTTACATTTGAGAGACAATGTCTAGACCTAGATGGGTCCCATGATTGAAAGGGACCCTGAAGGGAGGAGAATACAGCAAAAATCTCCCTGCAATAGTGTCTTCTACTGATGGATAGCTGGATCCAATCCAAAGCACAATCCTATGCATTTTTTAAACTGTTATTTATGAAACAGTTATCTTCCTTCGATTTTGCGGAAGACATACTTCAGACTAAATTGATGAGTCCTAAGAAAACACAAGTAGCCGTGGCAACAAAGCCCTAGAGACTGCATTAAAAATACTGACAACATTAAACGTAGTACTTCAAATATTTAAAAACATAACTTCAAGAAATACAGGCCTATAGAATCTGAAGAGACAGTCATTTTTTGTTCTCTCCCCCTAATCCTACCAACAGTTTATTTATGAACCCATCAAAATAGTCTCCAAATATCTAAATCTGTCCTGGCTATATGTTCTAAGAGCATGGCTAGTCACAAAATAACTCTTTTTTCCCCCCTTCTACCATTTCACTGCTAAAGAATATTAGCAGATACAGTACGACACAAACACAGCAAAAGTTAAACACTTTAAGACACACTGCTTTCAATGAGAGATGAGCCCATGCTTAACTCTGCCTAAACTGCGCCTTCTGTTTGAACAGTATCCTGATACCACACTTCAACTGCTGTCCTTTCAACATCATAAATTTGAAACTACAACCTGCATTCCTAAGTCTGGTACATACTGTACACTGCAGTTCCTGTTCATAAAGGAGATGAATGTATTTTTCACAGTAATTTAAAAGACTGATGTAAGAAAATAGTGGGTTATACCCTACCACGCTGTGGCATCTTCCTTTAACACAGGGAACCTTCCTCCAACAAAAGAGGTCCCTCTGTCAGCAAAGGAGCCTCTTGCACATGAGCAAGGTGCTGCAGAATACAGTGGTAGCATAAAACCCAGAATTTGAGGTCTACTGAATGCATCCTATCTCACACAACATCCATGGAAACATCCAGGGAAAGGAGTTTGTAAGCCACACTGAGACTCCGAGTGAAGGGTAGGGTATAAATCCAATCTCTTCTTCTTCTGTATTACACAGTATTTAGACTCCATATAAGGTAGTTCTCATGAAGGAATTTCCATCATTGTTCTCCACTCTAGATTCTTCAAGCTTCTGTTTTAGCAGTTTTTAGAACAGGAGATATGACAAACAAAACTGACAAAAACATTGGGGGAGAGGAGATAAAGCACTGCAGCAGCACTTACTTCAGTCGGACTTGTAAGTTATTTGCAAGTTCTTGTTTGGCAGTAGTACATTTCTGTTTAATATCTAAAAGTTTCCTGTGGTTAGTTAACATAATCATCAATTGATTTGCATGACTTAAACACAAATCAGGTAACACAGAAGGATCTTTCAAGTTCTCTGCTCTCTTCTGATTAGCCAAAAATCCCTATAAGAAAACAGAAGTTTAAAATTCACTAATCTGGACATAAGAAATGAAACACACATAAAATCAAAAGTCAAATTTTTCATAACAAATGGGAGGGGAAAAATTCTCAGTGGAACAGGCTTCCTCAGGAGGTGGTGGGGTCTCCTTCTTTGGAGGATTTCAAACAGAGGCAAGATGACCACCTGACAGCAATGTGGACTCTGTGAACTTAGGGAGATCATGAGAGGGAGGGCAGGAAGGGTTGCATCAGTGCTTACTTCTTGTGGCCCTTTCTTACATACCCAGGGAAATACTGATCGCCAGTTTGGGGTCAGGAAGCAATTTTTCTCCAGGCCAGCTTGACTGGAGATCCTGGAGGTTTTTTGCCCTCTTCTGGGCACGGAGCAGGGGGTCACTGGGGGTGTTGGGGGGAGGTATTTGTGAATGTCCTGCATTGTGCAGGGGGTTGGACTAAACGATCCTGGAGGTCCCTTCCAACTCTATGATTCTATGAGAATATGCATTCAAATGTGCATGAAAAGTTATCTAGACTGCAGATTGAGAAACACTGCTACAAAATGAATGACATTTTATCAAATGTTCGATACCTTCTGCACACTCAGAATGAGAATACTGCTTTTCAGATCATCTAGCACTCCATGCAGAATGGGATAGTGGTCTATTATTGACAATCTGAAGTGATTGCTGGACAACTTCAAGGATTCCTGGATGAAGTGGACTGTTTGGATCCTATCCCATGTGGGTTCAGGCCTGGTTATGGGTCTTGAATGGCTCTGGTTTCTGTGGTGAATGACGAGGGAATGGAGAAGGACAGAGGGGGTGCAATCCTGTTGATTCAGCTGAACCTGTATGTGGTTTTCAATACCATCAATCATAGTATCCTTCTGAACTGCCTTTTTGAGTTGGGACTGTGAGGTGGTTTTGGTCCTACCTTGGAAGGCAGGTTTCAGACGGTGGTGCTGGAGAACCCTGCTCTGCCCCTTGGCTTCTAGAGTTCTGCAACATTCCATTTTGTGCCCTGTGCTTTTCAACATCTATGAAACCACTGCATGAGGTCAACCAGAGATTTCAGCTAGTTTGTCACCAATATATGGACTTCACACTTCCAGCAGACCCCAGGGAGGCTGTGGAAACCTTGAAGCTGTGCCTGGAGGCAGTTTTGGGATGGATGAGGGCTAATAAGCTCTAACTTAATTACGACCAGATGGAAGTGCTATTGGTGGCTGAAAGGGCTAACCCAGGAATTCAGACATTTGTCTCCTGTTCTGGATGGGGTTGCATTATTCCAAAAGGAACAGGCTTGCTCCCTGGGGATCCTGCCAAGATCTACTATTGGATAAGCAGCTGTCCAGGAGTTCCTTCCAATAGATTGGGCAATTAACCTAGCTGCAGATTTCCTTAGGTAAAAAATATTTTGCCAGTGTGGGGCATAGCCTAATAACATCCAAATTAGATTACTGCAATGAGCTCTATGTGGGGATGCCCTTTAAGAGTGTCTGGAAACCACAACTGATAAAGAATGCTGCTGTGATAATGTTGGTTGGACTGGGTTTCAGGGACCATATCACTCCAGTCTTGTTCTGCCTGCACTGGCTTCCAGTTTGCTCCCCAGCCCAATTTAGAGTGCTGGTGCTGACCTTTAAAACCCTTTACAGCTTAGGACCAGCATATCTTCAAAGCTTGTCTACTCCTGTATGAACCTACCTGATCTTTAGTCATTTTTAGAGGCTCTGTTCCAGGGTTAGATAAGTGACAACCCAAGAAAACTTCCTTAGTTGTGGCACCAAACTGTGGAATTCCTTCCCCAAGGAGATTCATCTGTTCCCCTAAATCACTGCCTTCTGCCAGAGGGTGAAGCCTTTTTTTGTTTTGTTTGGCTTTCCCTTGCTGATCCTCCTTCCTGTTCAGTATTTTCTATTTTACATATTACTCCTAAAGTTGATTTTAATGTCTTATTAAATTTTTTCCACCTTGAGGGCCGTAACTTGGTGGAAAGGCAGGATTATGTACATTTTAAATATAAAAATCTAAGAAGAACACAGCTCCATGTTAAAGCCTTTGTATTCTCAGAATAAATACCAACTTTATATGTTTGTGTTCTTTTAACAACTTTATCCTGTTGTATTTTATATCCCTGAAATGTGATTTTAAGTCACTTTGAGTAATTTTTGAAAAATGACTCACAAGAGCAGATTTTTATAAAGGATTGAAAAGCAGAGTAATCTTATATCTTTTATTTATTCAAAAGAGTATTTCTGTAAACATTTCCCTATCCATCGGAATCCACACTTGCTCAAAACTAGGTGACCCAAGAAACTACATTTGGTATCATCTTAAATTGCTGGTGTGACACCGAAGACTAATCCTCAATGTTTGTGTCACCATGATTTCAATTAAAACAATAGCATGGTTGTTCCACATGGACTATATAAATGGTGAACACAGCTGGCAAGACAGCTGGCTCATGACTGGTTCGCCAAATTGATTATGTGAATTGATCTTTAGTAGCAGTTCATCACATGTTCTGAAGATAGAGCACTTAGCAGGGGAGGGGACACAGCTTTAAGCACATTCACTAAATGACCAAGTTCTAAGGCATCGCTAGCAAAAAAAGGATCTCAGACAGGGAAACAGAATCACCACTGCCTAAGTCTTTGGAAATACATAGATAGTACTGGTTTAGGTATAGCAATTATCAGATTTTTTAACCACTGCCTAAGTCTTTGGAAATACATAGTACTGGTTTAGGTATAGCAATTATCTGATTTTTTAAAAAAGTGGTTTCATATGGTCACAGGGATAAAGTGGCACCTTTAATATGTTAAAAGGAAAAAACACACTCTTACTTTCAGTAAAAACATAACCAAATGTAATAGCATAATCCTACTTGAAAGCTTTGCACTGGATTTAAGAACTCAGTGAAACTATTCTTATTATGCATTGCCACCTACTGACCATACTGATCAAAAGATCTAATGCTCAAATGATCCCATAAAACTCAGTAAGTTAAAAAAAACAAAATGATGGTATTTTTTTCCTGTTGCAATCATGCACAACTGGCACTTACCTAACTTCTATATGGGAAAACATTTTCCCCTCCAATAATCAAAACTGAGCTGCTGAAAATGGTATACTGTTTTGTCAAAGGAGTATTTCAAATTTCATTTTGCTTATCATTTCAACCATTAAGTAAATGAAGACTCAAACTGAGCAGTGTTACACTAAGTGAAGTTAATACTTTGAAATTATACTCCAAAATGAGCTTGACCAGGATTCAAATACCTGCACAACTAGTTCTACATGTTCTAAGTTTCAAAATCAAAGATATGAAGGAGGGGAGGGGGAAATCACATTTTGCGGTTTAATGGGGGGAAAGTCAAACATTCCATAGCATACCCACAATCTTGAGTATACCAAAAGTAGCTGAGTGTATTCCAGTTAAAGGTTGGATTCAGCCAGCTTTCTCACTGTATCACATTTAGTTCCCCTCTTTACTATAGCTCCTGTTTTTGTACATGCAAGTCCCATGATCCCCACCATAGCCTTTTCGGCAGTCAAAGACCCTTGCTTCCTATGTCACTAGTGGGTTTGACCACATGCTGGACACAGTATTTTGCTTGTTACTGCACTTGCAAGCTGAAGGTCATTTAAGACAATGTGTTTTCAGTGCTTCTTACAAACTTTACCAAATTGCCAAAGGTCCTAATCTTTTAAAGTGCTCTAAAACCATGCAATATATAATTTAAATGGCTACAGGTAAAGCAAAATAACTTATTTTCTTTTAATGTTTTCCCCAAGTGTTTATAGCTATTCAGAATGGAATAAAAATCTAAAAAGAATAAGGAACAAAGTTTAAGATAGTCAAGGAAGAAATGAAGGCCTTTCAAATGTTATTACTTTTTCTTTTCTCAGTTCTTTTTGCTGGCTTGGAATCCAATTCGAGTTTTAACAAAAATAATATGTTGGTCATTGCCATGGTATCTGTAAACAGCACCTGCCTGTAAACTTAGCACAATCTCAACTACTTGTGCAGGTTCCCATTCTCAAAGAAATCTGTGCTCTCTCAGGAGAGAGAGAAGCTGCATGAGAACAAAAGCAGTCTGATCACCTTCTCTGAATCAGAGATGTGCTGAATTTTTTGCTCAGGAAATATAATTTAGGTATTGAATTTTGTTTTAATGTCTTCTGGTACACAGCTGCATTTAATGGGAATAACACTATAGCGTTTTCTCACTTAACACAGAAACAAACCCTCCATATACATACATGAAAATAATCATATCCTATTTTAACAATTTTGCTGGCAACAGTAATCACCAAAGAATCCATTTTCTCCCCCAAACGTCTTTAACTTCAAGTAAAAATATACTTATTCAGGAAAAACATATAATGCCTAGCCTAAACAGGTTTAATCAATGGCTTAATATTAAATTAGAAAAAAGGTGAAGTTACAAAAATAAAATTAAAGTAGCTTATATGGCATCCACTCATCATTTACATTAAAAAAAACAGTGTTCACCTGAGCAAGTTCTTTTTGTTCATTAACCAGCCTGCTACAACTAGCTATCATCTGGTCCAAGGCATAAAGCCTGTCTTCAAGCCCCTTAATGGCCTTCATGTTCTGATTATCTAATTTGGCAATAGTCTGTCGGCATTCGGCCAAAAAGGGCTGAATAATCCTCGGGTCAAGCTGTAAGACAAAATAATATATATATTAATGTTCATCTTATCATTTGTATTGTAAAAAAATCCTATTTAGGATAAAAGCTCATAAAACTTAAACAAACCAGCACAATTAAAAACTTGTGTGTCTTTTAAACCTTCAGATTGTGTGTTTTCTTCAAACAATTAGGTCAGTATTCTTTGTGAAGAAGCTGGAAGCCACCTTGCTGACAGTATAAAATACAAAAATAGAGCGTATTTCTTTCTTATGAAGTTTTTAAAATTTAAATTAGGCTTGGTAAATTTGCAGACCCGAACCATGTATCTTCATATATTTCACCAGGTGACAAAAAACCCTGCTATCTGTGTGACCTATTTGAATCAGCTGAGAGGATCTGACAACCACAATTCCGAAGGCACAAAGTACACACTTTTAATCTGTGGATTAGTTAAATCTGCCTAAATTAACATCATTTTTGTACTATGCAACGTATCTCAAAAAAAGTAAAAAAATGTTACATGTACGTGCAAACACCAAAGATCAGGTGGAGCATGTATGTGAAGATACCAGTCCCTGAATCTAGCTTCCAAAACCATTTAAAAAATCAAAGCAGAAATAAACATTTTCAAATGGTCATCTATTGGCTGGTCCAAATTACATTAAAATTACTGCTTATGTTTTATTAAAGACGTAGCCTCTGATACAATATTAGAGTAACTACAAAACAGTGCGGTGGGAGGGGGGAATGTTATTCAGGCCTGGAATAATGTATTTTTTCAATTTCTTTTGAATTTTACTAAAGCAGAAATGGACACATATGATTACCACATCATTGGTAATATTTGGCATTAAAAATTATACAAGCAATTGTTATTCTAGACGTTTGGTTATCACACTGTGTAGTAATCAGCGCTGAAGTCCATTCATGCAATACATTTTTGTATCTTAACTATTATGGAGAGGATGAATCCCAGGCCCCATTATCTGAGGACCTACAATTTGGGCTCTGGAACCTAGAAGTTTGCAATACTATCATAGAGCTGCTTCTGCAAATTTTATAGGTCACCAAAACACAGAATAGGTTGTGTCAACATCAGCATGCTTCTTAAAGGTTCAATGAATTAAAGACTCAAACAGTGCGATGATCACCATGTGGTAAGAAAAATCAGTGAAAGCTTGCACCTCCAACTTGTACATGTTTTAAAAGGTATTAGGTAGCCAATAAAGAAGTAAGCCCTGATTCATACAATAAACTCTGTGAAATATACATCTGTACAAACCCATCAAGTTTACTTAGTACTTGCTTTGCCTTCCCTTTGCAAGAAGCACATTTTCAGCTTTCTTGCATCAATTCAGCTTGCCTACATTGGTGTTTCTGCTTGTGATATAACAGCATATATTCAGATAATAGTCTTCTCCCAACTTGGTTCACAATCTACTGCGCAAACAGAACAAGCATATCACATGAGCAACTTCTTTGCAATAGTGCTCTAATGTCCATGCTCACAGACCAGAGACTGCCATAGAGATGATGAGCACAAATGATATGGTGCTGTCTTTTCTAGTACTTTTTAAAAAGACCACAGAAAACTTGATAAAGTGATACTGCTAACTTACCATGTGACCTGATTTCAATTTTAAAAGGGCAGCTAAAACATTCCCCTTCCTACATCTGAAACCAGTAACAGTTATGACAAAACCTTGAAACAACTGTATGAAGGCCAATGTCTGTGAGATTAATGGCTCAGATGGAAAATACCTAAAAGTCTTTTATCTTTTGTCAGGAGCTAGATGGAACACAGATATTACTCTCATTCTGCAGACACTCTATTGGCTGCCCATTTGTTACTGGGCTCAGGTTAAGGTATCAGCTATCACATACAAAGCTCTTCATGGCTTTTATCCCTCTCATCTGTGGAACCACCTCTCACTCTATGCTTCACCACAACAGCTTCGCTCATCTGAGCAGGGCCTTCTACAGGTGGCTCCCCCCTTATGGAATGGCCTGTCCAAGGATTTCACGAATGGTCCTGCTCTCCTGGCTTTCCCCAAACTATGCAAAACTGAATTATTCAAGAGGGCCCACCTTTCTCCCTAATGGGGGTCCAAATTGGCTTACACTGTTCTCCTCTCCTCCATTTTATCCTCACAACAACCCAGTGAGGTAGGTTAAGTCAGGGGCGCATGACTGGCCCAAGGTCACCTGGCAATTTTCCATGGCTGCTCATTAAATCCATGCTTATCTGAAGATTTTTATACTCCACTGTAATTTACTTTTGTTAGCAAAATAGCCCTGTCCAATATTTGTGCTGCTGGTTTGCATTTGGGAAAAGGGAAATAATTTCCCCTAGAATTTCCAACTTTAAACTTTGCATTTTTATGACAGCTAGGTTCCATGCCATTAAAATATTCTCACAGACTGCAATTTTCATTCAGTTTTTGTTTCAAAGCCCGATTATTATTGTTTACTAAATGGCTTCAAAATTGGGGAGGGCAAAAATTTTAGCTGCCATTTTGAATTATGGACAGCATCTTAAAATCAGGCCTCATACTAAAGTGACAGTATCACTTTCCCAAGCATACAGGATACAAGAAAATAAGAATCAGAAACCAGCATGGCTATATTTTTTATACTGGGATCTTATGGCAGCCCCTGGACTATAAAGAGTGAACCTTAATTTAAAAGGTCACCTTACATTAAAACTAACAAACCCTTTTCCTATTTGCTAGACTCTGAGAAACACCACAGTTCCAAAAGTAATAATTCTATTCAACTCATATGCAGCCAAAAGTAGTTAGCACTACCATGTGAGGGGTGTGCTTTCAAGACAAATCTCAAATCCAAACTTGCAGATTCTTTACAGGATTGTATCAGTTTCCATTTAAAAAAAAAGACAGTAAAGGCTGTGGTCATGAGTCACTTGCATGGGTTCATATTTGGAAGCATCACAGAAAAAAACAAAACAGAAACAAAACATGTATTCCAGGCTTTTCCGGCATTGTCTACAAAATACGTAACAGTGATGACAGGAAATTATGCCACAGGACATCTTCATGGTTTTACTGAACACTTTTTACAGATTAGTTCTGATTTTTTTCTACTAAAAAAAGAAGTTATCCACTCTAAGAATTGTCATTCATGTTCTCGTTGAAACCAATTAAATTAAAATGCTATAAAGCTGCTACATGCTTCCATTCAGCTTTGAAACTTCTCAAACTGGACAACACTGGTCAAAAGCTATCAAATATCTATATTTGTTCTGGTTATAGAAGCATTCATCTACAAGACACAAACTGGTCAAGATCTGGAACAAATATGTGATATGGTTCAAATTACAGCCATCGGAGACAGACTTTTAGTATAGCATAACACTATTAAGTGTCAGATGCTGCACTGTAATGTGGTATAACTAATAAATCTAAGAACAGCTTGCTTATCTTCATGTGGAAAATAAGTTCATTACTTTTAAAACAGAAGAAACAAGGCAAGATACAAGTCTAACTATTAATTAGTTATAACTGTCTCATAGAATATAGCAAACACATTTGCAGGGAATTGTATTAATGCTAGGTTCTAAAATAAGTTTGCTTTGTAATAGCAAAGCATATTATTTGGAAACATCTGGCAGACTTGCAAGCAGGAACTGGGGAGAGAGAAAAACAGGGTCACACTTTATAACTGCTGTTCATTGAGATGTCTTCTGTGCAGGCACACGTTGGGAACTCTGCTTGTGCAGGCCAGCCACCAGAGGCTCTCTACAGCTATAATCTTTCTAATAGGCACCACGAGGGGAGCCCCTCCCCTGCAGGGGACCATCCAAGCTCTTTTCCCACTCAAACGGTCACCTGACCTGCAGGGAAGGGCCCCCTTTCCTTCAGTCCTCCTGAGCTGCGATTAAGAACAAGATACAGCAGGGTAGGAGGGAGGGAATGTGTCCCTGCATGGAACACATCTTGCTGAACAACAGTTACAGGTAAGTGCAACCCTGTTTTCATCTTCAGTTTTCTGTGCATTCCCACACTGGGAGACTAAAAAGCTCCTTACCTTAGTGGTGGAGTTATTGGAACAGGGAGTGGAGAACAGCCCTGCCCACTGCTGCATCTTTTCCGGCATTTACATCCACAGAATAGTGATGAACGGAAGTGTCTAATGATGACCACATCGCTGCACAGCAGATATCTTCCAAAGGAGTGCCCCTCCAGAAAGCTGTGTATGTGGCCTGGGCACCTGTCGAGTGGGCTCAAAGTTCCAGGGGGCACTGAAGACCCACCTTCTCATATGGCACACACATAGCCGACACTATCCACTGGGACACTGTCTGGGCAGAAGCAGCCCTCCCTTTTGAGTTACCAGAGTAACAGACAAAAAGATTCTCACTGTCTAAAAGCTCAAGATCTGTCCAAATAAAACAATAAAGATCTCTTGACATCCAAGGAGTGTAACACTTTTTCAGCTTTCAAAGTGGGAGAGGGGAAAAATACCGGGAGATGTCCTGCGTGAAGTGAAAGGCTGAAACCACTTTAGGTAGGAATCACAGGGTAGGCGGAGTAGGATGTAACTTGGTTGAAACTTGATAAATGGGTAGTCTGCTCTTAAGGCAGCTAACTCCCCTACCCTTCTGGCCAAAGTTATTGCCACAAAGAAGGCAACCTTGAAGGATAAGAGTGCCAAGCTACAGGTATTCATGGACTCAAATAGGGCTAGAATCAGTAGAGAAAGTACTACAGATAAGGACCATTGTGGAACTATGGGGGTGCTCGGGGAAAACAAATTAAGTAGCCCTTTCAAGAAGGTCTTAGATGCAGGGTGAGAAAAAAGTGTTTTATCGTGCACTCTAGAATGGAATGCAGATATGGACCTTGATAGAGGAGACCACCAACCCTGATTCCTTCAGGGACAGCAAATATTCAGAAACCAAGGGGATAGGGCAGTCTTTCACCTCCACCCCCAAGAAATGGCCCATTTAGCGAACCAGATTTCCTGGTTGAGATTCGGAGAGCACTAAGCAGTAATTTATCTATTCCAT